TGTGTGTGTGTGTGTGTGTGTGTGTGTGTGTGTGTGTGTGTGTGTTGTGTTGTGTCTCTCCCCCCAGGAGGCCTGAAGGTGACGTGCGAGTACATGGCTCAGCAGGAGGGCGTGTTGTGCGAGCAGGTGCAACTGTTGAGCGAGGCCAATGATGACGTCTGCGTCACAGTCAAAGTTCATGCCAGGGTCATGGGTACGAGTCTCGGTTCACTTCATCAACCGCTGTCTTTTTCCGGTCACAAAATACCACAGAATAGGTCACCATTATCGTCTTTGACGCTGCTCTTTCCCGCCCCGCGCGGCTTTTCCGTGCAGACCGCCATCACGGCACGCCCATGTTGCTGGAGGGCGTCCGCTGCATCGGCGTCGAGCTGGAGTACGACTCGGAACAGAGCGACTGGCAGGGCTTCGACTGACTCTCCTGATCGCCCTGAAACACTGACAGCGGGCAGCCGGCTGGCCGGCCTCTTCTTGCCACCTTTGTCCAACGTGCCCTTGTGTTTGCGCCATTTGGCCACGTGGGGGCAGCAGTGACCCATCATTTTTGTCATCGGAACAAATCTGCAAGTTAGTGACGAACATTCAACCGCCTTTGACTCCTTTGGGTTTTTTTTTTCTGGATGTATTGTAAACCCGACCAATTTATCCGAAATATTGCACCTTGTCACAATATAAAACATTTCCCAGGTGCCTTAGTGACTCGGATCGCCTCATTGCCCGCGGAAGCACAACTTTGGATGCCGTGCAGTGGGTTTGTGGCGCCTGGACGCCAAACACAAACGGGTGGCTGCGCGCTACTTATTAGAAGTGAACCCTGTGGCGACGATGAAACTGACTGCCGTTTATTTGTGAGCAACACATCCATAACCGTGGCCTCATCACAACACATACGGATAGTGTCACGCTCCCTCTTCAGATACGAGTAGCCGTCAAGAGGTGGGCGGCGGCATTCCAGACCGACCAGAGACGCTTGATGGAGGATTGGCTGACTCCACAGTCAAGTGCGTTCTAGTCATCCAAGCCGAGACGTGACGAAGGCATGAATGACTGCATCGCCGAGTGTTCGTCAAACAAGGAAAGGCTTGCTGAAGATGAAGGAAGCTGGATTTGACAATGGCGCCAATTTCAAATCGCGGTCCAATTTAAGACCCAAGTCCGCAGGATAGGATGGACAAGGGCCACTGGGACCAAAGACCATCACATCATTGAAATGATTTGTTCCCATAGGCGAGCAAAATGCTCTCATCGCACCCTCGTGAAATGCTCACACACGTTTCTGAGAAGCTCTCAGGCTTCCGCTGCCTGCATTTTATCTGTGTGTGTGAGAAGGAGAGAGCCTTAATTTCCAAATCCGTGGCAGCATTTTCATGGTGCATGTGCGCGGCCGCCTAAAAAGATTGCATGACCTTTTCGCTTATGTCAGCATCAGTTCCTGCACGGGCAAGCTCCAAAATGACGACTCTCAGGCGGTTTGCTCATGCTCATGTCAACACCGCAGCAGCGCTGCTGGACTTTTGCTTGGAACATGCCAACGCTTTAGTCACTGCCTGAAAGTGGCTCTTTGGCCCAGTGTCTTCCCCCAGCCTCGCTGCGGCCGAGCGACTCGGCTGAAGCAAGTTGGGGCGTAAAGGGTCCCTCCTGATCAAAAAGTACCACAAACGGACTTGGCGAGGCGGGCAGTCATCGAGCAATAAAATGCCACCACGCCTCCTTTCATCTCGCATGAGCTGGCGCTGTTCTAGGAGTTTGTCTTCATCCGGTGCCTTCCTCCTTCCTGGCTGCGTCGAACGGAGTTTCGTGACGGTCCACCCGCACTTGGGACTGCCTCGAAGAAGCTCATCGGTTTTCCTGCGACCGGTGGCGGTTCCTCGGATGGACGCTAGGTGGCAGCTGAGGCCGCTGCGGGGATTTGCTGCGCAGCGAGTGTCCCCGGCTCAGCACACCCTGACGCGCCGCAAAATAATCACTCGTGATGGTTTCGAGGGCTGCGGAAGGCTCCAGTCACGCATTGTTATTTTTTTCGTAATTGTATCAATGGCAGATGAATCTTTGGCCCCCCTCTAACTGGCAGGAAGGCAACAAAAACGTCTTGGGCGCTAGAAGAGTGACAACATTACGGAGCGGGTATTTCTAAAGTGCGAAATATGTTATTTAAAAAAAGGTTTACAAAGAGAGTAGACGATTTTTTTTTTACTCTCTCTGTATTGTAAAGCGGCAATCAGAGCGTCATGATTTTGAGCGGTGCTTTTTATTTTGTATTTATTTTTTTTAACCTTGACATCGCAGAAAAATAATTCGAAGCGATATTCTTTGGATTTGTGCCTGGGGGCTTCAAATGTTAATTTGAAAAGGCCACAAATAGTGGGGAGGCATCGAGAAGGGGGAAATTCGGAGAAATTCATCAAGTCAGCAACGGTCATTTGTATTGGCAAAGATTGAGATGAGACCAATCGGACCTGTGCGGTTCAAAGTTAGGCTTTTTCGGAGACAATTGGAGCCAACCATTCAAAGTGGCGATGGGTTGTCATCATTTCTGTCGAATGCGTTTGGTTTGGCGCGCAGGCACATGGGACCGATTGCAGTCAACAGAAAAAAAAAACAAACAAAAAAAAAAAGATCCACGAAAGAGCCGTCTTTTGTTGTTTTAAAAACCAGGCTGAAAAAGTCGAGTCCGGTTCCTTCGTTTTTTTCTTTTTATTTACAGCAATTGATGCAAAAGGAAATTGGGCAACACTGTTGGTGGCTGCAAAGCTTCGACAAAGAAACAATTGATGGCACCGAAACGCCGGCGCCTACTGGTGAAAATAACACACACCCACAGCCACACACACACTGGCCCAAATAAGTGGAAATGCACCGCGGGCGAGCATCTTCACCAAAGTCGCATGTGCGGAAATTGTGGCGGCGATGAATTGGCGCGTGTGTGTGTGCGCGCGGCAATCAGCCGCCCGTTGTCTCCGCTGAGTGCGGCTGGTGATTG